TTGTAAATATTGGGAGTTCCCCTTATTTTGGTCGCGTGAGTTTCACCCTAAGTACACCTTGTACCTAGGATCCCTATATTATAATTGTACAAAAACACTTTGTGTTACGACATAACGTACATCGCATCATTTGAAGTATTAATTTTCACATTACACATTACATTAAAAATTTCATACGCATTATGTTGAAAATTTGATTTCCTCATAACCAACTTAAGACTAAACTACAGAAAATGTACTATACATTTAGATAAAAAATCATTTTCGTTCTATACATTTTCAAATATTTTTTTTGGGTCCAATTTCGTCAAAAAAAAAAGTACTTTTTCGACTACTTACGTCTCAAGTCAATTTTCGTCCAATAACCGTCAAAATTCAGGGGTACTTTTATCTTTTAGCCTGGTTTTCATTTTTCATTATTAATTAAGAAATTAAGTAATAATAAAAATTAACTAAAACAACTTGAATGCATTTAGAAAAACGGTGATACACATTACGTCAGACAAGTTGTGCTAGATTAGACTATCTGGGACAAACCTAGACCTAAGAAATAATTAGAGGTGTAAAACATATCATTTGTAATTGGAAAAGGAAAAGTAGTGTCGTTGTAATTACATTTTAGGCTCTCATTCCAGACAGATCAAGTGTTCAAATTTTCCCAACTATAGAAATGCAATATATTTCTTTTCAACACTAGCTAAAAAAAGAAAATATATATATCATAAATTTAAGGCAGTCTTAGTTTTTCTCCAGTGATAACTAGGTTAAAGACAAACTTACAATTTCTACAAAGGAAATTCTCAAGTGCTCAAACAAGTTCAGTTATGCGATTTTGTTTGTCTTGATCATAATGATTCTTGTAGTTTTTCTTGTTCTATTTTGACTCACCATAAAAATATGAAACAAAGCCCCAAAGACAGAGGACTAGAGAAACGCCCTTTTCTACTTTGAAACTTTCATGGTAGAAAAGAACACCTAAAACTTCAACCACAGGGAGCATCACAGCGATTATAATTCCAGATAGTAAAGATGATGCACAGAAGATCACTCCAATGGCTCCCAAGAAGAAGCATTGCCAACTTATTGCACTCCATATAAGCACCAAATAGAATCTTGCTTCTCCTAAGTCATATGTTTTTGCCTCCCTTGATACTGCCTGTAAAAAGTATAACCAATGGGAAAACATGTATCTTTTTGATGGGTTGGAATGTAAATATATAACACCTCAGTTGAGTTCAATAGAAGCCATTACAATTTACCAAGAATGCAAAAGAAAGAATTAATATAGTATCAAAAGCTATTATGTCGCTTATTCCCACTAATGCTTACTTTGTCGAAAGATGCACAAGACATTCTTTTCTCTGATATCCATCAATTCTAAAATGATTATCCAGTTTCTCAACATATTTAATCTGAAAAAGTACACAATCATTCTTGAACGGTGATGTACAAAATATATAAACACACACTCTAAATTCTGTATTTGAATGATCACGTGCTCGCTTTTACTTAAAATGAAATATGATATGCTATATCTTCATATCCAACAACTTTAAATGGATCCGACGTCTCATTGATAGAGAAATAGCTGTTCCTTTGCTCGAGGCCTAGACTCAAGCGAGTTATCTTTTCATTTTCACACTATAAAGTTCCAAATTTTGGTTGCATAATGACATTGTGGGACAAAGCTTCAACTTTTAGTTCGCATAAAGCAAATTGAGCGATCCACAGAATATGGGGAAAACAGTAGGACAAGCAATCATAGTCAGAGGAATGGACCTAAAGTCTAGAAAGAAGTTCCAATATTATGGCTAAAGTAGTTAAAGTCTCTAACTTTCTCGCAATTCTATGGATTATCAAAAACCAAACCTAGATGGCTTCGAGAAATCCAAGGATTCATGTATTTTATAATCAATGTAAGAAGAAAGTGATCATAACAGAGTTGCACAGGTAATACCTGGAAATCTTTATTTATGACCATCCCAACAGTGCAAAAAGCAGTGGCAAAGAAACACATAACCAACTGAATCTCCATAACCAATGTATACGTAATTTCCTTCTTCGCTTTGTTATAAGAAAGCTCGATCAACGGCAAAACGAATCCATACAAAGCAGAGGCTCCAAGAGTCATGAAAAATCCCATAAAATATTGCGCTTTGGAATCTCCCTTTGGCCGATCGGAACTAGTATGCAAGGCCAAAACTCCGGCTCCGATTGTCAACAAAACAATCGCATTCAAGGAGTAAGGCGTGAATTTCTGCCTGACAATAAGGAAAGCGAAGAGGGCGGTGAAAGCAAGCTGAGTGGCAATGATCAGAGCCGTCGTCGAAACGGGCAATTTAGCCACGCCCTGAGCGTAAAGGTAATCGTCAATCCCGGTTAAAACTCCGATCACGGCGAAGGCGATGAACGTTCTTGTGTTAATGAAGAATAACTTCGCGTCGGAGCCCTGATTTTTCCGGCGATTAATGTATGCAATGAAGAGGGGGATGAATATAATCGGCCATCCTCCTGTTTCTAACCAGGATGATAACCAAATTCTCTTGCCGCCATGGACGAAATAGAGGCGCATGATTAAAGGGCCGGCGGTGGAGCCGTAGGATAGTAGAAAGCAGTTTAGAATGAGAAGGAATTTCTTCATGGCGGGATTGGACCTTGGTTCTTGATGATGATGGTGAGTCTCCATGTTTACAACTAACAAATCTATTTCCGAGGAGCTCTGTTTTCGGGGAGAAAAGGTTGTGCCGAAGAAGTAGATAGAACTCGTTTTAGTAGGTTTTACTTCCGACAAAACGTATATTCTTTTTCGATTTGAGAAATTTAGGATGGGAATGGGACCTGTTAAAAGTAAGAACTTACTCCATTCGTCCCAAAAATAATACTCCATCTGTATCAAAATTATTGTCCAATCTGAAATATAATTTTTAATATAATTTAAATTAAAAATAAAAATCCAAACTAGATAATAATTTCGAAATGAAGAGAAAAAAATTTATAATCTCTCAGCTCCAAAATGATTGGAGTGAGTAATCGAGAGCTGTTATAGACATGCCAACATTTCGCTTCATATTTTATGCAAGTATTCTCAAGTGATATTATCTTTTCAAGATAAGGATTAACTCTTAAAACATTTATATGGTTTTCTTGATATGTCCCTATATTGAGAGAACTACAATTTTCTCATTTAAGAAACACTAACAATTAGTTTGATAAAAATTAATCCTTTATTCTGAATGTTTAATACTGAATTCATTAAGTAGTTACAAAATAAGTAATAAGCCAGCTTTTATTACTTATATTTTGTACTGCAGTTTCAGCATTACTTAATTCGTTAAGATGTTTATTTTTTGTTATCAAATATGCTAAAATGAAAAAATGCTTAATCCAATAATTTTAAGCATTAAATGGCTTTAACAAACATGTCCTAATTCATTATTACTTTAAATATTTCTACTGAGATTTCCTTTCAAAAGCGAAGTGATTCCTTAGTTACAATGAAGAGTATATTAGACAGGTAACAGACAGAATTGAATAGATTAATTGAAATGTAAAATAGATTAGATAATTACTGTATTAAACTATTTTTTTCTAAAAAACAAAAAGAAAATTTCATTAACTTTGATGGAAGTCATCCAACTCTAGACGTTAGCCTAATTGTGTATTTTTATCCTCAAGGAATAACGTTATGCACCACGCCACTTATTGGGGTAGTGTACAAATGGAATATGACCAAGCATTAATGTCGCTAATTGATCACAGAATAATTTTCTGCATAATGTGTAGGTACATTCGTGATTAAGGTTTTTTTTTTTTTTTTGTTTCTTTTTTATGGTAAGATATCATTACGGAACGTTTACCTTTTCAATGAGAATATTACTGGAATTTTCAACAATGAAAAGTATATATGAATGAATGTATTCGGAGTTAGCAATTTTCTTCTCAAAGTATACAAAAGAAACCAAGAGCATATTGAACTCAACTACTCAGTCCATCTCATTATGAGTGAATTTAAGTCATTTTATTATACTGTTTTCATTTCAGTGCACATGATTCTTCTTCTGGGACTAATTGCGTGCATTTTTCGTTGAACAATATCAACCACAATCTCATAGTTGAAAATTGTGATGCATCTTAACAGTGTTACCAAAAGTACAAACTATTTTTTTGGATGGTTAAGGTGTGAATAATAACATTGCAAGTTTATGAACCATGCAAATCTTACGTTCTTCCAACATTTTGGCCCCAATAATCATATGATCCGAAGAAATGGTTATTCAATTGTCAATTATGTTCCTTTGATTTGGCAAATTGGGAGGCAGATACATTCTCCAAACATTGAATTTAACGACTACCTCTCAAAATGCATGTGCCTTTTTCCTTAGCTAAAGTTGATTCCTATTTCCATATGCGATTGATGATGACCTCCTTTCAACCAAAAAAAAAAAAAGAAAAAGAAAAAAGAAAAAAAGAGTAAAATTAAGTTCGAAACTTCGTTTTATGTTTAATTCTTCATGATCTCTCTTCTTCTTCTTCTTTTTTTTCCCCTTCATAGAGTATAAACTTATGTTATTCATCCCAAAATAATTAAACGGACAATCATTATACTCCATCTGTCCCAAAATTATTGTCCAATTTGATATTTTACTTTTAGTATAATTTGAACTAAAAATGAAAACTCAAACTAGATAATAATTATGGGACAGAGGGTGTAGAATAAAGAGATTGAAATAATAGTTTCTTTCTTAACAGTACGTGTTGTTTTTTGTCTATCTAACACTAAATTATACTTTCTTTCAATTTTAAAGGAGTTGTTAGACAAAATATATAAAATCTGATTAGATACGAGGAATCTACATTATGCTTTTTGGGCTATAAAGTTGATTATATGGACCGTATAGGAAAAAAGAGTTGAAAATTGGGCTTTTGATAGATTTTGGGCTTTTCTAATAAAAGATCCCCAGTCACCAAAGGTTTCAGTTAAGACACATTCAGCTCCAAGAATGACCGACGCCAATGGCGATTCCGATGAACCTTTATTACTACATTGCGTCGGTGATGGCGGATTCGAGTCATATCAATCCCAAAGTCTATGGGTCAAAACTTGGTCGGAATCGAAGAAAATTTGGGGAATTGCTGGTCCCTCCATCTTTGGCCGCCTGGCTATGTTCTCCCTGACTGTCATCACCCAATCATTTGCCGGCCACTTGGGCAATCGCAATTTGGCTTCCATCTCCATTGCTACTACCGTCATCATCTCCGTCACCTTCGGCTTCTTGGTAAGTTTCCAGAAGGACCCATCTATTTTGAAGTTTCTGTTCTGTTTGGCAGTTGACCCATGTTGCGAAAATTGCTTTGCTTTTATACTTTTCGTGGAATTGGTTCTTCATTTGTTTTAAGTTAAGGGCTGTGGCACATGAGTCAGGATTCAGGGATGGGATAGAAACATAGATGATAGGAAGAATTTATGATTATCCTGAATTATGGAATTATTAGTTAGTGATTACATAATGCTTTGAAGTCGTATTCTATTCGGAAATTGTAGGAAGAGGCTTAAGAAGCCAGCTTTTTTTACGTTATTTTCTTTCAAGTGAAATTATCCTTACGCATAGAAGCTCATTTCTTCTCAGCTAGGCCTTTTGACAAAGTGTGAGTTACGAAAATTAAGAATGATTGCTTATCTGTTTACAAGCTTAGGGAGCAAAAGAATTAGGATAGTTTCCATGGTGTTTGTAATTTTGTTAGTTGGTGTATCCATTTTTTTCTTTCTCTTTGACTCGGCATTTCATGTAACATTCATTACATGTTTTAGTTCTCTTGAGCAATTAGGATTAGAAATTTCTTGCACTACTAGAATTTTTTACAGTAAGACCAACTCAACAACCTACAATGCTGAAGCATTGCCACATCTCTCGGATTAATAGCTGATCTTAGCTTGGTGAAAATGATTGCCCCTTTTCCCCTTGCCCCTGGCAATATTTTTAATACTTTTGGATTGGAAAGCTGAGACTTCTGAAGCATACATGTGTTCTGAAACATTTAGCATTTGGTTTCCAGCTAGGTATGGCTAGTGCACTTGAGACACTGTGTGGTAAAGCATATGGAGCTAGAAAGTACCACATGTTGGGCATTTACTTGCAGCGTTCGTGGATTGTTTTGTTTGTTAGCTCCATTTTTATGCTACCACTTTTTGTGTTTGCTTCACCGTTACTGAAGCTTATGGGGCAGTCGGAAGCACTGTCTGGGTTGACTGGTGAGGTGGCAATGTGGCTTATCCCTATGCACTTGAGCTTTGCATTTCAATTTACTTTAATGAGATTCTTGCAGTGCCAGTTCAAGACCAAGGTGATTGCTTGGGTGTCTGGCGGAGCTCTTTTGTTTCATGTGTTGTTGACTTGGATATTTGTTGAGAGGCTGAGAGTAGGCATGGCTGGGACTGCTTTAACACTAGATTTTTCTTGGTGGTTGTCAGTTTTCGGACTGTTTGTTTATAGTGTATTTGGATGGTGCCCTCATACTTGGAATGGTTTTTCTAAGCAAGCTCTCAATGGGCTCTGGGAGTTCTTCAAACTCTCTTTTGCTTCTGGTGTCATGCTTTCGTATGATTTCTGCCTCTTTTCTTGAACTGAAGATAATGCACCTTGCATATGTGAGACACTAATGGACTTGTACTACTTCAGAATGGAGAACTTTTACTATAGAGTGCTGATTATAGTCTCCGGAAACATGAAACATGATGAGGTTGCTGTTGATGCTCTGTCTATCTGGTTGTTCTCCAGTACTTCACTATTTTACTGCTGTTAACCTACTTTTTGTTTGGAGCCTCATTCCGATTATAATTTTATTTGACAGTGTTACTTTGTACGGTTGGGCATCAATGATTGCACTTGGATTTTTTGCTGCAACAGGGTAGCTTGAATGTATTTTTAGTCATAACGTTTCCATTATTAGTCTTTATGAGGTTATAACAAAAATTGGTATAATCCAAATGATTGATATCATATTTAATGGCTTTAAATTTAATACTGAAATTCGCATTCACCGAAAGAATTTATGCAATGCTGTTCAAACGCAGGGTGCGTGTGGCAAATGAAGTTGGTGCGGAGAGCAAGGAAGGTGCAAAGTTTACCACCAAAGTTTCAATGTTGAACTCTTCGGTAGTTGGTGCCTTGTTTTCTTTGTCAGTCATGATATGTCCAGATAGACTTGCGATGCTCTTCACAACAAGTGCTCCAGTAATCAAGATGGTCGGCGGACTTTCGTTCTTTTTGGCACTTACAATTTTCCTCAACTGCATCCAGTCCATTCTTTCCGGTGAGAAACAAATTGAAAATCAGCAATTTAATATTTGGAGTTCCGAACTGACTTTAGAGGAGACGATGTCAAAACTGAAATCTGAAGAGAAGACATCAAATTTGATTAGTTATTTTTTCTTCATTGGTGCTACATTTACAGGAGTAGCAGTTGGATATGGCTGGCAAGCTCGGGTAGCATTTGTAAATCTAGGGAGCTACTACGTTGTTGGGATGCCTGTTGGGATTTGGTTAGCATGGTTTTTCAACTACGGAGTCCAGGTATAGACGTACAAATAATTACTAGTGTTAAGTTGAATCTTTGATGTATTTAGCTCCAATAAATAATAATCAGATCATCTGCTTCGCACTTTGGCAGGGCATGTGGGCTGGAATGATAGTTGGGACTATGGTTCAGATAGTGATTCTGGTCATTATCACCATCAAGCTTGAGGGGAAGAAAGGTAAAGAATGTGCAAGCCTATAATTCTCAGGTTCAATGCAGACTTTCAAGTTCTAATCATGGTAATGGTGGCAGTGGCGGACTGTGTTGATTATTTGTTGTGTATTACACCGATGTATACATTTTGTAATTCGGTAATGTATCATTCTCATAAATCTTTTTTCAAGTGTGTTGGATTTATCCAATTCCATTTTCAAGTGATCTTTCAGAGACTAGGACTATTACAACAATTCATCTACAATACTCTACATCTCAGTTATTTGACAGCTTCATACATTTTTCGGTGGCCATTTGGTTTTTTTTTTTTTTTTCCTTTTTCAAAAAAAAAAAAAAAAGAGATGGTAAATGACATCGAATAACGGACATTATAGCTCTATTTATTTCCCTTTTTGCAAAAGCAAACTCTCCATTTAAGGATATCAGAGAAAACAAAAGTTTTACTTTGCCCCGCTTACATGTATGCCAAAATTTGTTGCAACGGCGGCCTAATACACACTGCCTAGCTGCCCAGATTTCTGCTCAAATTCACTCATGCAGCCGCCAGAGAGGCACCTTGAGAGAGAAAGGAAAAAAAAAAAGATAAAAGAAAATCATATATTGTCGTGTTCTAATTGTAATCGAATCCTTCCTCGTGTTAGTAACCAAAAAGAAAAAGAAATTTTTTTTTCTAATGCACCTGGATCACATTTCACAATAGAGATCTACCCCCATGCTAAATTTGTATTAAAACAAATTCCCTGCTAAATTCACCAGAGCTTCTCACCCCGGGCGGGCTTGTTTAAGGTCGTTTACCTCTCTTGCAGGCTATTGCAGTGGGAGTGATTTTACCCATTTCTGATGAAGTTCTCGGCGTTATAAAAAATAAAATAAAATAAAATTTCAATCCTTTATTTTAATGTAATTAAATTGATATTAAAGAAGTTTGATTTTTTTGTTTGCTTTATGCAGTTAAATGATGAAAATAACTCCTTAATCTCTGATTGGAGTGTTCAATCAATGCAATTAAATTAATAGATTATTTTTTTCCGAAAGGAGACCGACCTGTCTCGGTGCGAATTAGTCTAAGTGCAATACACTTAGGACACTTATATTAAAAAAAAAAAAAAATTAATAGATTGAAATGAGATTAGTTTGTGGCCTCTAAAATTATCCTGGTGCATGAATGAAAAGAATTACTCCCTCATCTCCAAAATAATCATCAAGTTTAATTGTACTAAAAATAAAAAAAAATAAAAAATTAAAGATATTAATGTACAAAAACATCCACAAGAAAATTTAAATTAGTTAGAATAGTGATTTTTTATTATAAATACGTAATATAATAGTACTATAACAGATGAAAAACATTTACAAAGAAAACTTGGTATCGAAGAACTCCCCTGGATTTCTGATTCGGCGGCGATTTCCTACCAACAAAAAACTTTCTCCGGACAAATTATTAATAACTCAAAAAAGAAAGCAGAAGAGCCACGCGGCCCCCGCTTGAAAATCTACGTGCTGGTTTCTCAAGCTTACCCCTGTTCTTTCTTACACATTCTCCAATGATATCAGCATTTCCTCAATCTTAAATCAACTTCCCAACTTTTCACCACCGCTTTCAGATAATCTAATTTTCTCCCATTCTCAAAATCTTGTTTTAGTTTTTGTTTTCTTCCCACTTGGAATCATGGGGACTGTTGGAATTGATGAGGAGCTTAATCATCCACTTTTGCATGAAGTGGAATCCAGTAAATTGGCCGAAGCTGCAGAAGAAGGGTTGATGATTCAGAATGATGAAGTAGAAGAAGAAGAAAGCAGCCTGAAGAAAAGGGTGTGGGAAGAATCCAAGAAGCTTTGGCATATAGCTGGACCTTCCATTTTCAGTCGGATTACATCTTACGGCCTTAACATCGTTTCCCAAGCTTTTGCTGGCCATCTTGGCGATCTTGAACTTGCTTCAATCTCAATTTCTAACACCGTCATTGTGGGCTTCAATTTCGGCCTTCTGGTAATTATTTTTCTCTCAACTCCCCTGTTTTAAAATTTTGGGTATCCAGGTTCATATATTTATTGATTTAGTAGTTAATCTACATTTTCACGCCAACCCTTTTCGTTTTTGGCTGTCTGTTTAAATCTTCAATGATTCAAAAATTAATCAGGATAGAATTTAATGAAGAAGATGAACAACATTTGATTGGCAATTCCGTTTTGAGAAAGTTGGTGATTGTGTAATTTTGTCCTGATTCAGTCTGATCTCAGGCTAAGTAAGAATTTGTTTGATTTCATGAATAATTTTAGTTGGGAATGGCGAGTGCATTGGAGACGTTATGTGGGCAGGCCTTTGGGGCAAAGAAGTACCACATGTTGGGAATATATTTGCAGAGATCATGGATTATTCTGTTCATTGCTTGTATCGCCTTGCTGCCCTTTTATGTCTACGCCACGCCGATTTTGAAGCTTTTGGGTCAATCTGATGAAGTTTCGGAGCAATCCGGATTGTTAGCCCTGTTGTTCATTCCACAGCATTTCAGCTTTGCGTTCCAGTGCACGTTGCAGAGGTTCTTTCAGAGTCAGCTGAAGACAGGAATACTTGCTTGGGTATCTCTGATCGTGCTTATAATTCACGTGTTCATAAGTTGGCTTTTTGTGTCTTATTTGCAACTGGGAGTAGTCGGTATCACGATAACTTTGGATATTTCTTGGTGGATTTTAGTGCTGTTGTTGTTTGGGTATGCTGTTTTGGGAGGTTGTCCTGAAACGTGGAAAGGTTTCTCTATGCAAGCTTTTTCTGGGCTTGGGGAGTTCATGAAACTCTCTACTGCTTCTGGTATCATGCTTTGGTATGTTTTACTTTTCACTCCCGCAACTACCCCCATTAATACTGGTCAAATTTACAAAATCGTAACATTTCCCTTTGTTCTTGCAGCGTCGAGAATTGGTACTATAGAATATTGATTTTAATGACCGGAAACCTGGAAAATGCTACAATTGCAATTGGTGCATTGTCTGTTTGGTATGTCATCTAAAGCAGACAACTCTTATATGTCTCAACTACAATGGTTCAAGCTTATATTGGATAAATTTTACATCATCTTAAGATTTTTCTGTCAGTTTTGATTTGAAATGCTTACTTGGATGACTTGTATTTGGCAGCATGAGCATTAATGGGTGGGAAATGATGATTCCAATGGCCTTCTTTGCTGCAACAGGGTACTGTATGACTTTGGCTTACTCATTTTTTGTTATCGCGCGAAAATATACTCCATGGATACTCCATCTGTCCCCATTTTAATAGTCCCCTTTGGTGAAACTAAAACAGAAGAACAAAGTCTACTATATAAATGGGGATGCAGGAATACTAACTTGTGAATGAGCTATCAAACTTTTTCATCTTACAGAATCATCGTTGAGAAGTATCAAAGAGCTAGCTTATACATGTTCATCGCCCTTTTCAATTGTTTATTTGTTTTAATGTTTGTGTTAAGTACGGATGATTAGATACAGTATACATTGTGTAAAGGCCCTGCATTAAATCATATGAGCATCCACCTTCATTTCCTTGAAACATGCAGAGTAAGGGTGGCTAATGAGCTCGGAGCAGGGAATGGAGAGGGCGCAAAATTCGCAGCTAAAGTTTCCGTGGTGCAATCCCTGATAATTGGTATCTTTTTCTGTGGACTCATCATGGTCCTTCAGGACAAGATTGCACTTATTTTCTCGTCAAGTGCTCAAGTCATTGAGGCAGTGGGTGATTTGTCCTACCTCTTAGCTATAACCATTTTGCTAAATAGCGTTCAACCAGTCCTATCAGGTACTGTCTCTTTAATCATCAAATCAGATCCTAATATCTGAACAATCTTGGCACTTAACTTATGGCTTTTATGGTTTAGGGGTTGCTCTGGGATCGGGCTGGCAGAGCTGTGTCGCCTACATAAATCTTGCTTGCTACTACCTCGTTGGACTTCCATCTGGTGTGGCTCTAGGTTATTTTTTCCACTACGGCGTTGAGGTACTAATTAAAAATTTCTCTGCTGCCTTCTGCGTAAAGTTCTAGATGCATAAAGCTTGATAAAAACTTTACATTTTCATTTACTTCTTGGTCTACAAATTTGGTGAAAACAGGGAATATGGGGTGGAATGATTTTCGGAGGGACAGCTGTGCAGACAGTAATATTAGCGATCCTAACAGTAACATGCGATTGGGAGAAGGAGGTGAGTCCCTGCAACGTTCTTACAGTATCAATTTTAGCTAGTAAATGATCACATAACGTATCATCTGTTTTGTGGTAAATTTTCAGGCCAAGAAGGCTGCATCCAAAGTTCAGAGATTGTCAAGCTAACTCCATATTGCGAGAAATAGTTAAGTAAAAACGTTTTATAGCAAAAAGAAATAGTATGTCAAAGTAGTAAACGTTGAATAGTTACTTTGTTTAGAATTGAAAATGTTCATTGTGAAAATGTCAATTATATACCTTGCGGATGTTAAAACAAATCTCAGATATACCGAACAACAACATTCTCAGTACATACCTGGTATATTTCTAATTTTGCTGTGGTCTGAAAGATCAAGATCAAGATGTATACCACATTATTCCTGTGTTTTAATACAGAGAATCTATTTAAGCACCCTTAGATTTGTGATCATCGGAAGGCAACTATTTGTAATTTGTCAAGTAATACTATTGTGATAGTTCTTACTATTCCTTACAGAATCTTAACAATGTAAACTATTTATTCTAGGATGAAGAGAATAATAGATTTATATCATATATACATACTTTCTAGTTCGAGTGAAATTTTCACAATCATGTATATTTGTATTTTGGGGTGGATTTCACAAGTTAATTTCTGACTTGAGAGTTGAAACCACTACATTCCGCAACCCAGTATATTCATTTTGTCGCTATCCCACGTAACACAATACTTTAATGCAAAATATCTTTTCAATAATGTAACTCAAAAGAGCAGTATCATCAATCATCGTCCACTCCACTCTTGCCCACAAACGTTCTTCTCTTTTCTTTTTTGCAGTTCTATAGACTCTAGAAAAATGGATGAAAATCTTGAGCATCAATTGCTGCAAGGTGATCTCAACAACAACCACGAAGAGGAAGATCTGAAAACAACGGTGTTGATTGAAACAAACAAGCTATGGCAAGTTGCCGGCCCGGCCATCGTAACCCGTCTAACAAATTGTACACTCAGTATCATCACTCAAGCCATCGCCGGCCACTTTGGTGCTGTCGAATTAGCTTCCATGTCCATCGCTTATAATGTCATTGTTGCCTTCAACTTCGTCTTCCTGGTAATTAATATCATGTCACACGTTTTTATTTATTGTCTTACAATTATAATAATAGTCACAATTTTATTTAACAATGTGACTATATTAATTAAGGGACAAATCTCATGATATCACAAATGATTAATTTTATCTTCGATTAACAGTTAGGAATGGCAACGGCATTGGAGACGTTATGTGGACAAGCCTATGGAGCTAAAAGGTATAACATGTTAGGGATATATTTGCAAAGATCCTGCATTGTATTGGGTTTAGCCAGCATTTTATTATTACCAATCTACGTCTACGCAACTCCAATTCTGAAGCTCCTGGGTCAACCCGAAGACGTGGCCGAGTTAACCGGGTTGATTTCAATTTGCTTCATCCCAATGCATTTAGCATTTCCCTTCATTTCTGCGGTCCAGAGGTTCTTGATGACTCAGTTAAAAATCAACGTTGTCGCCGTTAATTCAACGTTGAGTTTAATGATTCATGTGTTCATCAGTTGGGTCTTGGTTTTCAAGCTTGAGCTGGGAATTTTTGGAGCAGCTGCTGCTTTGGTTATATCCACTTGGGTTTCTTTTATCGGTTTGTTTCTGTATGTTATTTGTGGCGGGTGCCCGTTGACTTGGAACGGGTTTTCCATCGAAGCGTTTTCTGGACTCGGGGAATTTCTCAAACTTTCCGCTGCCTCCGGCATCATGATTTGGTATATGATCATTTTTTAGAATTAACCATTTTAATGATCGTTTGCCAAAAAATATGATCTTACTCATTTGTTAATCCTACCATTCCGAAGTTATTGTCCAGTTTAGAATTTCATTGTTTTGTACAAACTGAATTAAAAGTGAAAATCCAAACTAGACAATAATTTTGGGATAGAAGTAGTATATTATTATTTTAGAGATGGAAGTAACATTTCATTGATGATGATTAATAGTGATTCTTCATATGTTTGGGTTAATGCTTGCATGGTTATATGTACGTAGCTTGGAGTTTTGGTACTACAGAATTTTGCTAGTGATGACCGGAAATCTGAAGAACGCCACCATTGCCGTGGACGCACTGTCAGTATGGTAAGTTAACCAAATAGTTTTTTTTTTTTTTACTGGATGTTTAAGTGATGGCAATTTTTTTTTGATAATGTATAATTTGTTTGTTTGATGGCTTTGATTGATTGGACAGCATGAACATCAATGTCTGGGAATCGATGATTCCTCTAGCCTTCTTAGCTGCAACCGGGTAAGTAATTACTATTTCTGTCCTATTTAAAAAGAATCACACTTATTGAATTCAGATTAATGTGGATTATCCCCTATGTAACATTATCATAAGGTTAGCTGTAATAATAAATACGTAAAACCAGGCCAAGGACGGGAGGGAGAAATATAACTTTATAATGATCGTGGATTTTGAATTTTTATAAGAAAGAATGACAAAATTATTTTTTTGTTACAAGGAACTACAAAACATTAACTTCTTACAAAATGTGCGCATTTTTCTTAGGACCCACAAATAAAGTTGAATCAAACAAAATGATACTGCATTATTGACGATATTATGTTCAAATTTGATCGTGACAATATGCAGGACAGAAAGTAATTAATTATTGTAAAGTTTACGGGCAAAAACAATGATAACAGTAAAAAAAAATAAATAACAAAACGAAAAAGAAAAACACGATAGGCCAAAAGTAGTTTGGTCCGTTCATCAGCCACGCAGCTATAAAGGGAGAAGACAAAGAAATGAAGAACCACCAGCAAGCAAGCAGCCAAATTATGTAACCAAAATAGTTACGGTGGAGTGGAAGGGACTTCTCCACTTTTAATTATAGGTCGAGGGCTCGAATCTCGTCATGGACATGGAGTAATATTAAATACTTTGTCTAGCTATTCCACCCATTGAGGTGCCTACAATTCAGCGAGTGGAATTAGTCAATGTTACCGACGGTGGACATTTGCAAATATGAAAAAGAAAAAAAAAAAAAGCAGCCAAATTATGTTGCGGTCAAGAAATAATCCTATGAAATTAGGATAATAGTACTCCTCCTTTTCATTCCAAATAAAATTATTTTTGTTAGACTCAAACAATACAACTAATTAATAGTACTACTCTTTTCTTGGAAAAAGATGAAGGATTAATTTTTCTTTTTTAATCGACGCGCGAATGTTAGAATTTGTTTGTGATGAAAATTTGCAGGGTAAGAGTATCAAATGAGTTGGGTGCTGGAAACGCAAAGGGAGCAAAATATGCAGCCAAAGTGGCATTGGTGCAATCCTCTATAATAGGGATCGTTTTCTGCGTAATTGTATTGATATTTAACAAGAAGCTGGCCCTTATATTTTCAACTAGCCCCGATGTCATCAATGAAGTTGACAAACTCACTTACCTTCTGGCTCTCACAATTCTACTCAACAGCATCCAACCCGTTCTATCCGGTAAAAATTTCATTTGGTCAACAATCGATTTTCTTTTTTTTTTTTTTTGTTTACCACTTCTTAACACTTTTTATTCCAAAATTATGGTCATACTTATTAATAGAACAGTCATTTTGGGACGGATAAAATAATATAATTTTGGCTGGCCTGATTATTTACCTAGATGTGTATAATTTGTGTTGAATTAATTTTAACAGGGGTGGCCATAGGATCAGGATGGCAGTCAATTGTGGCCTATGTGAATTTGGGATGTTACTACCTCATTGGTGTCCCTCTTGGACTAGTTATGGACTGGGTTTATGACTTTGGTGTGCAGGTATATAATTCACCCTAGCTATAGACGGGATACGAGCATTTAATTAATCTGCGGATTTTTTTTAAAAAATATTTCCTAGTACAATTTGTGAATGAACGAATTATCTCACATGGTAGGGTATTTGGTGCTCTATGATCTTTGGTGGAACTGCTATTCAAACTGGACTCCTAGCAATCATCACAATTCGGCGGGACTGGGAGAAAGAGGTCTATTTTTCTTTTTCCTTTTTCTTTTTAAAATTGAGTCCCCTATTTTTTATATTGTTTTGGTAATAAATCGCCTAAACTTGAACATTTTATGTCATGATGATCGCAGGCGAAGCAAGCAATAGCCCGTCACAATGGGTCAATCAACGATTGATGTTTTCCAAACATTCGATGGGAAAAAGATCTATAAAATTGTTACATCCGTATTTTCGGGCAAACATACATTCGAAACTTAAAGATGTTTATCATGAACATCTGTGAAGATACTTTAAGATGTTTGATGTCTTATATGATGCGTACTTTATGCACTAACATCATAGTGCTTAATGTGGTCTTAAATAATTAGTTTGGAATATCAGATGTTATGCTTGAAATTAAAGTAAAAACGTATCATGGAAATATGGGAATACAAATTTAAAAATATTCGAATAAGTTGAATGAAAGTAATAAGTAACTGGGTGGTGAAGATAGAGCATATTTATCGGGAGGTGAATTTTGGTGTGAACTCTTTAGCGGAATTAGCAGTGGTCAGCCCAGGTGGTTTATAATGGTTTGACAATCTCCAGATTTTGTAAAATTTTGGTTCCAATATGATTTAATTGATGTATCTTACTAACGTATTATAATACTCTAGCTTTCAGGTATTTGCTTCTTTTATAGTAAAAAAAAAAAAAAGTAATGAGTAATGACTACATGCATGTTAGTGCCGAGGAAAGGATGTGTCATGCACTAATTTTCGTCAACTTTTATTTATTTTGGGGATCATATACTCTTTATATATGCTCTTTCTTCTACAGTCTATTTTGGGGATCTTATACCCTAAGTAAAGGTGTTTGCTTTAATAAAAAAAATGAAAAAAATAAACACATGCACACACTCGCACCCTTTTGTAAAGGTTGAAATATCTTTCTTTTTTTTCAGAAAAGTATAAGAATTCCTACATTTGGTTGTAAAAATAAAATTAATCAACTTTTATTTTATTTATTGGCAGATAACTATATAATCGTATTGTATACTACATCTGTAACTTTTGTCTATGAGGTTAAAATCTAGATGTCAATCATATTAACGTAAGATGGATGGAGAAATAAAATAGATTTAAAATATTATTTTTGTTCTAAAATGATATATTGTCCTATTTATTAATATGAAATAGTATAAAACGATCAATTCGGAACAGAGTTTTAGGAAAGGAGAAGTAATGCATTAATAAAATTCTAACACACAATATATTATTGATCAATAATACAAAGATACAATACCATGAAATGATTTGTGCCCCCTCTGCATTGCTACCCAAGCTTGAGATTTTTTTTTCAACGAAAAATAAAAACAAACGAATTAGATTTTAATGCTATTATTGGAGAAGCGTTGATTGGCTTTCATTGTAAAAGACAATAAAATACGGAATGATGGAACATATTGTCTTTGTGAGTTGTAACATCAAATTCGTAATTGGACATTATTTTTTTTTTTTCTCAAGTCTTATATCTAAACTCTAAAGCACATTATATAAGTTTTTAATATGGAAATACTCTACTTTTATGAGTGTTTTTTTTTATATACTTTTTAATCGAATAATAGTGCTATTGGTTCGGCATCTTTAAATCAGACCTTAAAATAGGGATCGGAGTATAAAGAACCTGTTGACTATTGGCCAATGTTTTTCCAACATGAGTTCAAAATAGCTAGTTTAATACATGACTATTTAGCATCATTCTCCGTCAGAAGTTGCTCATTAGTAGTGTCCGTGTAAAAAGAAATGGAAGAACAGTTTCTCCATATTATCTAAGCCCAGAAAAAAAAAAAAAAAAAGGAAAGAAAACAGAAAAGTGGAGAGTGAATTTTTGCACTGTTTTATGTGATGTGATGAATCGTCTAGTCAATTTCATTAGTGTATGGACTTTAAAAATTGAATTGAAACCACTACTGATCATTCCATTACGCCAAAAAGCCTGTCACTATCCTGTGAAAAGCAACAATATACTACATCTATTTGTAAAAAGTTTGGAAACTTGCCTCTCAATAATGTTCTTAAAAAAGCAAGTTTTATATTATCATGCCATCCACAACTCCAGGCCACAAACATCTAAAGATTCTTTTCTTTTCTTTTTACACTTCAGTCTCAATTATTTCTATTGCACTTCGCTTCTGCACTTACATTATTGAAGATGGACGAAAGTGTTGAACAAACATTGTTGCTCGAGGATTACAAGAGCAACGACATTGAAGAGAAAGATCTGAAAGCAAGAGTCTTGGTAGAAACAAAGAAGCTATGGCAAGTTGCCGGTCCGGCCATCATAACCCGTCTAACAAATTATTCCCTGAGTTTAATCACCCAAGCCGTCGCCGGCCACCTCGGTGATGTCGAATTAGCTTCCATGTCCATCGCTTATAGTGTCATCGTCATCTTCAACTTCGCTCTCCTGGTACCTTATTCGATTTTTATCAAAAAAACGTGACTATTATTAATATGTGACGAGTACGTACAGTCACATATTATTTTTCTTTTTAAGAAAATGAATATTGTAATACTCGAATCATGCTATGATATCACTTGTTGATCTTATTTTTTCTATCGTGGATTAACAGTTAGGAATGGCGACGGCATTGGAGACGTTATGCGGACAAGCCTATGGAGCAAAAAGGTACAATATGTTAGGGATATATTTGCAAAGATCCTGCATTGTATTAGGCTTGGCGAGCATTGTATTATTACCAATTTACATCTACGCGACGCCGATCCTAAAGCTGTTGGGTCAACCCGAAGACGTGGCCGAGCTAACCGGGTTGATTTCCCTTTGGTTCATCCCGATGCATTTGGCATTTCCCTTCATCTCGGCGGTTCAGAGGTTCTTGTTGAGCCAGCTCAAGATTAACGTTGTTGCGATCAACTCGACGTTGACTTTGGTGGTTCACGTGTTCATTAGTTGGCTCTTGGTTTTCAAGCTTGAGCTTGGTGTCTTTGGAGCTGCCGCTGCTTTGGTCATTTCTACATGGATTTCGTTTTTCGGGTTGTTTTTGTATGTTGTATGTGGAGGATGTCCGTTGACTTGGAATGGATTGTCCATGGAAGCGTTTTCTGGACTTTGGGAATTTCTTAAGCTTTCGGCTGCCTCTGGCATCATGATTTGGTAAATTATCTAAGGAAACACACCCTTCTTTTGACTAACTTTTTTTTTTCCCGCGAACAAAAAAATTACTATATACTATATGACAAGATCTAAAACAGAATTTAGCGTTAATCAGATATGTAAGTAATTAGATGTGTCCCATTCAGTGCCTGTTGTGGTTTTTTTTTTTTTTTTTTTTTTGTTGTTCCAAAAGAGACTAACTTAGTCGTTAATTAATAATCGAATGATTAGTAAAGGTCATGAATGGGTTATATTCAGATTACATTTTGTAGAATATACTGTTTTGTATGATTATTTACAAATTATACTGTGCACTATTTTTATTAGCCATGTAATAACTAGTATTAAAGATTGACGTTTTTGTCATTCTTTAACAATACATTTTTTCCTTCATGTAAAAATCATTTTTGTTTTTCTCGGTTCTAAAATAATATTTTTTTTTGTTGTCTTATTTTATAAATATAATAAATGTGGCAATTGTTTCGAAACATGGTAAATATTATAAATTAATATATATTATCACTGGTTTTTGCAGCTTGGAGTTTTGGTACTACCGAATCTTAATTGTGATGACCGGAAATCTTAAAAATGCGACGATAGCCGTAGACGCACTTGCAGTATGGTAAGCTGTCTCTGTCCAACGACACATTTCAGAGACAACCCCTATCTTAGTAGTTCGAATATCTCAATATTGATTTGGTTGTTTATGATTTTTGTTGGGACAGCATGAACATCAATGGCTGGGAATCAATGATTCCACTAGGCTTCTTAGCAGCCACCGGGTAAGTAATTTCTACTCTCTCTTTTACAAAATTGATTATTCTAATACCGTAAATTATTTCAAATTAGTGCTCAAGTAAGGAAGTGTGTTTGGTTTGTTGTCCGGATTGAGTTCTATGCACATGATTCCTTTTACCATCTTTAAGTTCATATATCCACATCTGAACATTATTTGAATTCGCAAATCCATTTTATGGTCGCGGAGTCATAATTATGAACATGATTCTTTTTTCAATGTAGCAATATTTGTCCGAATATATTCTGGCCGACACCGATAGATTGAGTGGCCACAATGTATGAGTGCGGTATATTGTTTTCAAGCATCTGACTTATTTGGAAGTTTGTTCTTGATTGCTCTTGACGAATTATTGCTTTGAGAGTAGACCTTAGGCTTCATTATTAGAAGGTTTTTTAGCGTGTATCTTTCCATTTAAAATATCAACATATATGCTTCTATTTCTTAAAGAAATGGTCCATATTTTAATTTGTGTATTATGTGTTAGAATAGGAATGAGTCACATATTGTAATGAAGACCTTTTCTCTTTACGATGGAAGAAAAAATCATAAATGAATGAAAAAGAGGTATATATATATATATATACCTAAGTGTACGTACTAGAATTGATAGTGTTGCATGCATTTCATGATAATGATTATTGCAATAAGACAAATTAAAAGTAGCTCGTTCATTCCCAAATCAGCAAGAAGAGAGGAGTATTATTCACAAAAGCAAGATAGTTTTACTAAAAGTAAAACCCAACTATTTCTTTAAAATATATATATATATATATGTAAAAAATAAAAAACAATTGCAGGGTGAGAGTGGCAAATGAGTTGGGAGCAGGAAATGCAAGAGGAGCAAAATTTGCAGCGAAGGTGTCACTGGTGCAATCGACAATGATAGGGATTGTGTTTTGTGTCCTCGTACTAATATTTCATGACAAATTAGCCCTCGTATTTTCAACTAGTCCTGTCATCATTAAGGCCGTCGACCGACTCTCTTATCTCTTGGCTCTTACAATTCTACTCAACAGCATTCAACCAGTTTTGTCCGGTAAGAACATTATTGGAAAAAATTGGCGTTTAAACCCAAAACTTTGGGTCTATCGTTAATTTTACCCTATTAATTTTTAATTAGCCGATTTTGTCCTTACTGTTTGAAATGTTTGTCAATTCCGCTCAATTGGCCTAATTTCCGTTAAACTTAATGGATATTCATTAGTTTTTAACCAAAAATACTCCTATAGTTTCAGAAAATTGTAAAAATAACCTTAAAATATATAAAAATAACAAAATAGTCCCTTTTTATTTATTTTTTCATATTTCATTTTATTTCTCTTTATTACTTTTCACAATCATCAAAATATACTATATGATCTTTAAGAAAATAATAATTTATTTTTAAAATCTATTTTTCATGTGCAACACATGTTATTTGGATTGAGGGGTAATTTTGTTATTTTAAATTTTTGAAATTTTAATTTCTTTTTTTATTCGTCTTTTTTTGAGATTCTTTTTCTTATATTTCCTGACTTGTATATATTTATACTAGATTATAAAAACTTTAACATAAAGAAAATGAGGGAAAAAAACTTAAATTGAAATAAACATGAAAATTAATATCATTCTAAAAAAAAGCAAAAAAACCTTAAAAGGAACTGCAAAGACAAGTCTTTTCTCCTTAACTTCCTCTATTTCATAGGTAAGTTATGAAGTATAAATTTTACTTGATCTAGCCTAAAATGATTATTTTGTTCTTTGTAATAAAAATAATACAAGTCATGTAATATAATTTAGTAATTATTTTGCTAAAAAATACACGTATTTATCTTTTTCATGAAATTTAATAATTGATTATGTAGTTTAGCAACCGCCAATCTGCCAAAAAAATTTATTAAAAAAGAATAAAAATAGTGTTAACCAAATTTAGAGAAATGCATCGTTATGGACTAATTAAATTAGCAACTTTTCATGTTTCAAATGATTATCTAATTTTTATATTATTTTTATTACAACGAACTAAATAATTATTTTAGGCTAGATCAAGTAAAATTTATATTTCGTAACTCACCTATGAATTAGAGGAAATCAAGGAGGAAAGACTCTCTTTGCAGTTTTTTTTTTAAAGATTTTTTCGTTCTTTGTTTAGAATGATAAACTATTCATTTTCATGTTTATTTCAACTTTATTTTTTCTTCCTCATTTTCTTTATGTTAATTTTTTATAATCTATGAAATAAAAAGGTAAATTAATTATTAAAATTTCATAATTATACTAGTATCAACATATATAAGTTAGGAAATATAAGAAAAATAATCTCAAAAAATAACGAATAAAAAAATAAATTAAAAATTTTTTAAAATTTAAAATGATAAAATTATCCCTCAACCCAAATCACATGTGTTGCACATGAAAAATAGATTTTGAAAATAAATAATTATTTTTTAAAAAAATCATATAGTATATTTTGATGATTATGAAAAGTAATAAAGAGAAATAAAATGAAATATGAAAAAATGAATAAAAGGGACTATTTTGTTATTTTTATATATTTTAGGGTTATTTTTACAATTTTCTGAAATTGTCGGGATATTTTTGGTTAAAAACTAACGGAAATTGGGCCAAATTGGGCGGAATTGACAAAAATTTCAAACAGTAAGAACAAAATCAGCTAACCAAAAATCAATAGGATAGAATTGACGATGAGCCCAAAGCTTTGAGTATGAACGCCAATTTTTCCGAACATTATTCTCCATAATGAACAGTAATAATACTACATTATTTTTCACTTTTTGATAACAATATCAGTTGCCAATCATGACAATTAATTACACAGAGGAAAAGCATAGCCATTTGAATATTAATTTTGCCATCTTAATGCTCACATCTTTGTGTTGGAAAAACATTCTATATATAGGAGTAGCCATAGGATCAGGATGGCAATCCTTGGTGGCCTATGTTAATCTAGGATGCTACTACATCATCGGTGTCCCTCTCGGGCTTGTAATGGGTTGGGTATTCAATTTTGGTGTTGAGGTATGATTACCTTTTGTCATAATTAATCCTATTCATTTTAAAGTAAATTTTGTTTAATGTAACATTACTTGACGGGTATATACAAACTTTTATTTTTCTATAATTTATTGGATCAGGGCATTTGGTGCTCCATGATCTTTGGTGGAACCGCTATTCAAACAGGAATTCTTGCAATCATCACAATTAAGCGGGATTGGGAGAAGGAGGTTTTCTCTTTTATCTTTTCATTAAGAAAAAAAAATTTGTTAGTGTTTCTGTTCGGTTCAATCACCTGATTAGCTAGTCACATTTTGCTGTTTTTTGCTAATCTAACCTCATACTTCGTGGTACGTAATTGCAGGCCAGGCAAGCGATAGCCCGTCACAGTTAAATCATCGTTTTCATGTCTTATTGGAGGATGAATATCCCAATGATTTATAGCATGAAAAGAAAGTATTAATTGGAGGAGGGTTTGTAATCACCTTGGACTTCCTCCAGCTCCAGATCTCGCACTTTGAACTGTCAACCAGTGTTATCTGTAATGTATAGCCATGGACCAGTAAAATTAAGCGCGATAAAGTATAGATGGACCATTTAGAAATGATTCATTCATTTCTCCCAAGCTCGATCGTATTTATTTTCTCCCAAACTCCCCTATTCAATGAATCAATATTATTATAATTTCTTTCATCGTCACATCGGTGTCTTGAAAGATCTGTCACCTGTTTATAAGTGTAAAAGGCCACCCCACTCAGTGCCAATTTGTTTTGAGATGGGAGTCCAAAGTGACTTTGACATGGTATCAGAGCACGGATCTATGGATCTGTGATAATTATGGACCCACGTATGCGGGCTTGGACACGTGTGCCTTGGACTTGCGTCAATCGCTTCCGTGTGTACGGATGGGTTGTGGACTGATCCGGTAGTATATCCGGAGTATGTACCCGTGTGTACGGGCTTGTGAACTGACCCAGCATTATATCTGGTGAATTATATTGTATTGTGTAACCCCAATGGGCCAAATATCCCATTGGGCTTGAAGGAGGGTCTTGGGTCAAAGAATCCCATATCGGTGTCGTGAAAGATTTATCTTGTTTATAAGTGCCAATTGTCATCCCACTCATTGTTAATTGGTTTTGAGATGGGAGCCCAAGGTGACTTTGACACATCGAGAGAACAAAATAATGATAGTATAGAAAATAAAATAATACTCCCACCATTCACAAATAAATGTCGTTTGTAGAAAAAACTAAAATATTCTAAAATAGATGTCGTTCTCACAAATCGAGGCATATTTTGTCAATTTTTTTCAATACTATCCTTACGTTAGAAATTGCAATGATGTTTAATGTCGAATTATATTAGAACTAAAAGTTATTGGGACTACAATTATATTAAAAATAAATGAAGGTCTTATAGTATTTTAACGAGTTAATTATTGTCTTCTTAAACTTTGTGAAATTTCTCCAGCATCAGTTATTTGGGAATGGAGGGAGCATCCTTTAACAGGTATTTTAGTGAAAAAATAATACTCCCTCTATTTACAATGATTGTCTAATTTTGTTTGTTTTTTTATTTTTGATATTAATCATATAAAAAATAAAATTTTAAACTAGACAATTATCTCTCAACAACCTTATAAAAATCCATACACAGCAATGATGCAGTTTTTGTATAATTCCTAAACTTTTTGTATGGGTAAGAAAAACGTTTCTACCAATATTACCCATCTTATACCCACCGTCTTTTACCTCTCTCTCTATATATATATATATGTGTGTGTGTGTGATAAGAAAGAGAGGAGAGCCCTTTAGGTTGAAATTAGAATATTGTCAGGACATACAGCTGCAATTCAGTTTCACATAATCCAAGCTTATCATGGATAACATCGATCATTGAGTTTTAGCCTTTGGTTTTTATTGAGGTGATCAGTAGGTTAATTGTCTTATATCAGTATTTGGAAACAATAAAGAGTAATTAATAAGTAAATTGGTTCCAAAATTTATTATTTTGAGGTTTTAGGTTAAGGTAAGTTTCTAGTTATTTATAGGGCTCGATATTGGAACTATATGGATCTTATCTTCTGAGCTGGAATTCCTGACAATTTTTTTTTATTCAGTTAACTGTGAAATATTTTTATGTTTTACAAAAACAATTCACATTGTAATTACTTTAATTGTGAACTGTTTTAAATATTATAGATTTTAATGTAAATTGTTATTATGGGGCAAAAGAAATACTACTTATAATCATTAAGTATCAAAAAGGTAAACACACTTTTTTTTTAAACCAGTCACAACAAGGACAATCGTACGATATCAAAAAACATTTATTATTGGATGGTCATGATACTTCCCAAAATCCAAATTTTTTATCCCATGAAAATGCATGGGCAGGAGGGATGTATCGTACGTCCATCTCAAAATGACTCGTAAAACTGAAGATAAATTGATATCCACAAACGTTACGTTCGTAAACTATACATAAACCAGTATGCCTGCTGCCCAGTCGCATGGTTAAATGAAAACTTGAATCCGTAAGATTTCCATTTTGGAAAAATCATAATATTCGTCCAGTTAATTATTTAATAATCCGTTTTTGTCTCATTTCTATTTTCAAGTTTTTCCTTGAAATGTGTATCAAAAAGAGTTTTCCTGGACTAGTCAATTTTGGTAGTCCAATTGAGTGATTGACAGTGGATATGTACATACTTAGAATTGAAGCAGTACCAGAAGTATCAATTTTATTTTATTTTGTTTTATTTTCAAGACAAAAAAAAAAAAAAAAAGAGATATCCTCAAAAGTCAAAACTATTGAATCCATGAGTCCATAGTTCCAGACTGGAACCAGCGAAGTCCCTCTCGGAGGTAGATATTCCGGAAGAAGTAGAAATGTCATTCGTCAATCAACTACTACTTTTACGTACCCAACGAAAAGATATATCAAATAATCAAGATGCGACGAGATACGCACGATGCACGACGAGAGTCCCCAATTGAGACATTTTATTATTATTATTATTATTATTATTAGGAGTAGGTGAAACAGCTCTCAAAACTTTAACGTGGAATTAATTGCAAGAATTAATTTATTGAATTTTGAAAGGTTGAGAATTTAGATGATGTATTAATTCATGACTTTCTCAACAGCCATAAACCCATAACTTATGGAACTGCAAAAACCTAATCGGAGTATACGACAATTAGGTGTGTTAAATACTCGAAAAACGCACTCATAATTCTAAAATGAGTGTCATATTATGTGTATATTATTACAATGTCACAAATATGATAATCATTGTAGGACGTGCACGTACACATTTCACAAAAGGTACCTAACCTTTCACGTATAAAAGCACAGTAGTTCAAGAAAATTCCGAGAATCGCACATTTCTTCGACTTTCCCACACCTATATATCTCTTAATGCGAAAACAAAAGAAAAAAAATATATTATTCTTCAAATGGAGGAAACTTTAACAATAAATTTGTTACAAGGCAAGAAGATCAACGAAGATGAAGAAGATGGAGATCTCAAGGCAAGGATTCTGGTCGAAACAAAGAAGCTATGGCAACTTCTGGGTCCGGCCATCATTTACCGTATATCCAATTACTCCATGAGCGTTGTCACCGATTCCTTCGCCGGCCACCTTGGTGAAGTCGAGTTAGCTTCCATGTCCATCGCCGAAGCTGTCATAGTCGCCTTCAACTTTGGACTTCTGGTAAACAACCACATATTTTCTCCATCCCAAAACAATGACTTTATTTATATTACTACATATTGATCAAATTTATTTATCAAAACCCTAAATGTAAATCATTATTAGATCATTTTTATGAATTTCTACAAGAGCGTGAGAAAAAGGGTTCTTTTTTTCTTTTTTTTTTTATTTGAAGTATAGTTGGGGATGGCAACAGCACTCGAGACTTTATGTGGACAAGCTTATGGAGCCAAAAGGTACAACATGTTAGGCATATATCTCCAAAGATCTTGGATTGTGCTTGGCTTAGCCAGCATTCTGTTGCTACCACTTTACATCTACGCGACGCCGATTTTGGTCCTCTTCGGACAAACCAAAGAAGTGGCGGAGCTAGCCGGAAAACTCTCCATTTGGTTCATCCCCATTCATTTGGCGTTTCCATTCAGTTGCTCATTGCAAAGGTTCTTAATGAGCCAGTGCAAGATCAAGATTGTTGCCTTAATTTCGACCACGACGCTAGGTTTTCATGTTTTGATTACTTGGCTGTTTGTTTATAAGTTGGAACTTGGAGTTGTTGGTGCCGCTGTTGCTTTGGATATCTCTTGGTGGATTTCTTGTTTTGCGATGTTAATCTACGCTTTAGGTGGTTGGTGTCCTTTAACATGGGATGGATTTTCCATGGAAGCATTTTCTGAACTTAAGGAATTCCTCCAACTTTCATCTGCCGCTGGTGTCATGCTTTGGTAATTAATTAACCACCAAAAAAAAAAATGTTTTAATAGTAGTATGTCATAGCACATATGTGTGGCTACATACCCTCCTCAAGCAAGCTATTTAATTTGTTAGTATTTCATCTGTCTCAGATAAAAAGTCGAATTTGTTGAACTGATTTCTATGTCAAAATCCACTCCTGACTAACTTGATCATGCAGCTTGGAGTTTTGGTACTACAGAGTTTTGATCTTAATGACCGGCAACCTCAAGAATGCCACCATAGCCGTCGGGGCCCTCTCAGTTTGGTAAGCTTTGGCTAGCTTCCATTTTTATAAACATCTATTTAAGCTGATTTGTAAGAAATGGAAATTAAGTAAATGTACATATATATATTTCGTTTTCTTTGTAACAGCTTGAGTATCAATGGTTGGGAACTGATGATTCCATTTGCCTTCTTAGCTGCAACGGGGTAAATTTTCTTGTCCTTTTTCTTTAAATGAAGAGGCAAACTAATTAATCACCGAAAATGGTCCATCACAGTGAATGAAGTACTTTTTTAACTATTTCACAAATGAATTCACATGCATCTGTAAGTATCAGTTTTAATCCTTCACATTTGTAATCTTGTGATATTTGAAAACAAGATAGTTGTCACTATTCTAGCATTTGTAATGGAATCAAAAATTAGGTCTTAAGGGAAATTTGCGATACAACCCCGACATGATATGGTTATAATTATTAAATTGGGCTGATAGATCTAAAGGAAGTAAAATGATATGTGATGTTAACTCAATGTTAGTTTCTTAATTTTTTTTTCTTTTTAAAAAGTTCGACCCAGTGAACCCCATATAAATGTGTTAAACCTCCCTCACATAGACTTAGTGGAAATTGAATATAGATCTAATAACAGGATACACAACGACTAGCCACTAGATTGTCATTCAAGTCCCACTTTAGTTTTTTAATTATGTATTAATTTGAGAAATCAATAACTTTTTACATCTTTCAAAAACATCCGAATTGAAGAGTAATATGTGATGTTAATGTTATTGATGTATCGATGTGATACATTTTCGATGTGTAACTATGTACTATTTTTTAAATTAAAAAAAAAACTTATAGTACTTTTATTAAAAAAAAAGTCTAAATTGAGTTTTAAGATTTGTACTAGTTTCATACAAACTTGAAAATTCACTGTAGGTTTTTTTCGGATACAAGGAGTAACATTTTTTTATTGTATTAAGAGGAATGGAAATATTGCACGCCATATTTAAAGAAGATCACAATTCTCAAGTAGGGTGGCTCGTAACCCAAAAAAAAAAAGAAAAAAAAAGCTAAGGAATAAGAAATATACAAATTAAGAACATCCCCATTTTCCTTAATAACAATAACACTGCATTTAATTTTGTCATAAAAATTTGCAGAGTGAGAGTATCGAATGAGCTAGGTGCTGGAAATGCAAAAGCAGCAAAATTTGCAGCAAAAGTATCTCTCGCGCAATCAGTATTGATAGGAATTCTTTTCTGCATCCTTGTAATGATATTCCACAACAAACTGGCCCTCATATTTTCATCTAGCATTGAAATTATAAAGGCGGTCGATCAAATCTCTTACCTCTTGGCTTTCACGATTTTGCTAAATAGCGTTAAACCAGTTTTATCCGGTAAGGACTCCTAAATTAGTTTGGTTAAATTCATTTAGCTCCAATATTTTTCATGATGCTAAAATATCTTCTTTTTTTTTTTTTTTGTATTTGGAATTTAACAGGAGTGGCCATTGGATCAGGATGGCAGTCATTGGTGGCCTACGTTAATTTAGGAAGTTACTACGTAATTGGTATCCCTTTAGGAATTTTTATGGGTTGGGTACTTAACTTTGGTGTTGAGGTAAATAATTCTTGCCTTATTGGTTTGTTTATTCTTTTTTTTTTTTTCCCTTTTGTTCGTTGATTTTTTTTATGAGATATTTGATGTTACAGGGTATATGGTGCGCCATGATATTTGGTGGCACTGCTGTTCAAACCGGAATTCTGGCAACCATAACTATAAGGCGGGACTGGAAAAAACAGGTTAATTTAATCTACATATGTTCCTTTCTTCGGATCAATCTTTTTTTTTTTTTTTATAACAATATATCTTCAAACTTCAACCTTTATTTTTGCATTAAAAAAAGAAAAAAACTTATTATCATCTCGACTTGTTGGTTGCAGGCTGGGCAAGCATTATCCCGCTATGAACAGTGAATTAAAAAGCAGTCAATTACGATAGATACGGTACAAAATATATGAAGAAAAGAAAATACAGTCAATCACATGTTCTATAGCAGACGACTTCTTTTTTTATATATATATATTGAAAAAAATTTTGTTAAGTTCTTTATATTTCTGAGAATATGTACTATTTAAACCTCTATCATTCTTTGTTTTAGTGGAAGAGACTGAAATAAAAGTACTCGAGATTTTATTTATTCGATAAATTGGATCAAGTAACTATTATTTTTGTTTTTTATTTTTCATTTGCAAACTTCACTACATTCTCTATACATTTTTCCTACTATCGCTACAGGAAAAGATACGTAAAGACAATCATAAATGGCTGATTAAAATACGTACTAGTGTCACACCCCGGACAAGAAGATTGATGTATAATTAATATATATATATATAGTAATTTTGTTTTAAATGAAGCATTATTTTCTATAATCATAAAAATAAGGAAAAGAAATATTTTTTGAATGTGATTTTAATGAAGAGACTGTAAAGAATATAGATAAGCAAAATCTATGATGTTGGAGCCAATTCATTGTAAGTGTGATTCACTCCAGTGAGTTTATAAGTACGGGAGCCCTTAATTATTATTATGACATTTAAAATTGGATTCCGGTCTTTCCGCATGAAACATATTTTTTTAATCTCTATTGAAGAGTTTTTTGTTTTCTAAAGTTTCACTGTTTCTAACCTACACGTACCACGGCGGTCAATGATTTGATTTGAAAGGCGTACGAAAACGTTTACTTATAGTACTAACGTCATAACAAACGAAGCAGACCAGGTACCAAAGTCCGAAATAAATGAGGCCTTCTTCCTGGTTGATTTGGTGGCCACACCTTTCTGCTTACCTTTGAAAGATTTGTCACTTGAGGCGAGGCCATCATGGGGCCACACTCATCTTGAAGAAATGAGTTTCCTCTTTTTCTACCGTTGTCTTATCGAATGGTTACTTGGTGGCTTCACAAAGTCGTCGATCCTTCCATCGACGCTATTCTTTCTCACATTTCCTTCAAAGATTTACTAACAAAAAACATTGATCATTTCTTGAGAATCTACGAGGACTTATTTGATTAGTATATTTACGTATTGTAGTTAATTTGTCGATATGAGTGTATCTTATGAACTTTGTACGTAAGTTTTTATAAATCGGGGTACAACTTTTAAATACAATTCGGATTTTGCATTACTCTTAGAAACATGGAGAAAAGAAAAGGAAAAAAAAAGCTTGTGTTATGAAGTTGATCAGTTGGCTATAGACATTGTTGTCATTTCATTGAAGAATGAAGGTCAATTATGTAAGAAAATATATTCCACAAATTCCCTACTCAAATCATTTAAGACATGAGAGTTGCATAAATGAGTTGGTTCCACGTATCCAGAACACCAGCAACACACCAATGTGTGCAATCCATTCCTCCGATACCGTTATGTATGGCCGGATGTCCGTCCGGTCTCAGTTGCGACAGAGTAGTAATGTTAAGCAAAATTACAGGTTTGGAGATTTTACTCAACACATCATTTACTACGCTTGATGCTAATGGCATGCCTCCCGGATAATTTGAGCTGTTCAATGGCCTTCTCTCAAGTGAGCAGTCCCTTACTCCTGGTTCATTCCATTCCTCTCCCCTGATTAATTAATTAGAACAAAAGGGGAAAAAAAAACAAAAAGGTAAGGTACAACAAGGGTGAGTGTCGTTCAACGATATCAAACTTTGTAAAAATTTGTAATTTTGAAATAGGATGGTGACTAGTGAGTAAATACGGTCATCAGATCATATTCTTTAGATGAACCATAACATTGTATTAGTATATATATACATCTCATACATTATTTATTATTTCAATTTGTAGCGTACATATTTTCACTGGTTGTATCATTTTCTGGTTTCAGAAAAGCAAATATCTTCTAGCAGTTTGATCGATAACTTAGAGCCCCAATCTGTTTTTTGTTATTTTTATATAGTGAAAGTTTTGTTGGTTCAAAATATAAGGATCGATCTAATCAAAAGAAAAAATAAAGTCAAAAAAATTCAGTTGTCTTACTTGTAATGAGAGGGAGTTATTCCTTGAAAGAAAACTTTGGTTTTAATTGGGTCAACCGCTGCATCGACCCATTTTGCCCATGTGGTCAACCCATATCGAAACGCATCCATCCGATTCATGTCCTTCAAAATCTCCTCGCCAGCTTGTATGTAATCCCACCTTAAAAACAAATTAAAATCCGCAGATCTTATTGGCACAACGAAAAAAGAGAAGAAGAAAGAACTAAATTGTAAATGATCATAAATTAGTTATCACATTTTCCATTGAAAATCGTCAACGTCAGATGCAACAATTGACATGTACTATTTTTTAGACAAAGAAAGTATATTATTAGGAGATCTCTTACTATTGGCTAGTAAAGTGCCAAAAAAAAAAGTTGCCCCTATAAAAAAATTGATAAAATTAAGCAGTAGGTAGCATGCATGTCTCAGTAACGTGTGTTGGTAATAATATACGTACGGTTGTTTAGCTCCACTACGATACCACCAAAGCCAAGTGTTGAAAATCAAAATGTCCATTTGTTTCCACAAATCTCCGTTTCTAATGGAGTCTAGTTTCAGTACGCGGCCAATTTGTTCCATTTCGATGTCTACGAGGTAGTTGGAGTGAAATAATGTGACTGAAACTTCGTAATCCTGAAAAATAATAAATCCAAAACATCTTAGTAGGTTTATTCTTAACTAATGGAGCTAGAGAAATAAGATTAAAAGAAATGGTGAAATATTAAAATGTAAAGACAGAGTGATAATGCCAAAATCGTATATATGCACTGACCTTGAATATAACGGATATCGAATTCTTATTTGTTTCTTGCACTATCACGGACTGAGGTACGGCTGCATGCAGGAGGCATACAAGTGAATCATATTGATTGTGGCTCACGGAATCCCCAATGAACATAATCTTCTTTCCTTTCAATCTATTCAAAAAGTCCAACCCATCGAATCTGCATTTCATGTCTTCATGTTAATTGCAAAACTAACAAGAACCCTTTTATTAGAACAACAGTACCATTACAAAATATGCTACGAAGGAAAATTGATACCAACATTTTAATTCTATACGATTAAAATGTTAAACGGAGATTATAGTTAAACATTGGAGTTGTAAGAAGTACGTACCTTGGAAGATTACACTGGTTGGGTTGCCATCTGTACTTTAGGTATTCATGATCAAGTCGACCGTATTTTAAGCAGTCGAATTGCTGGGCAATGAAAGGACAGGCTGATGAATCAAACAGAGGATAAGATTCATCAAACACCCAACTTCCTTCAAATATGTCGCATCCATTTGGCAATTCGGTGATTTTCCATTTATTGATGATAGTGCTACCATTAATACCAATCTGGCCTTCGATGGTCAAAGAAAACACATAAGCAAACTGAATTGAAAGTGCCACTAAAACAATGAGATGGCTTCCAATAACCCCTTTTCCCATCTCCTAAAAACAACCCCGACTAATTAATAGCTTATAAAGGAAATTAACATGTATTTTATATAGTGCTCAGAAGTTGACTTTTGTATATCTGGCAGTTGTTACAATCGAGTTGTACCACTTGATGATGTTCGAAAAGTCCTCAGTGTCATACCAATTACCAAACCAAATGATTAGTCCTTACTTATCAGAATATGCATGGTTATTATTATTATTTTTTTTTGTTTACTTCCCTCAAATTAGAGTAGTCATTGTTTACGTAATCAAGAGATTCTAAAATTAATGTCGCACGGCCAATTAATTAATTGCATGAAAGTAAAATTAGAATGGGGAGATCACCGATGGATCGGAGCATAATATGCTTGGTTGGTTCAACACATGCTATTCCACATGGCTAGACACTTCATTTTCTTGCACCTATTATAATTTATTAACTAAATGTTACCCGCACAATGTGCGGGATAAATAAATTATGTACAAAGATAAAAATAATGTGTATCAAAGAAATATTTTTTATTTTTGTAGAATTAAAATAATTGGAAGAGATTATGATATATTAGTTTCAGGAAATTGACATTTTTGAAGGACTCATTTTATCCACTGATACTATAAACGACCATTCTGTTTCCAAATGGGCTGTAGTAAATCAAATATATTGTATTTTTCCTTCACCTTCTACGTCTAAGCATATGTAGTCGATAATGCATTACTTACCCTACCTTAAAAATAATATAAATTTTGTTACAAATATATATATATATATATATATATATATATATATACACTAACGAAACTCCTCCCAATAAATAAAAATTTTAATGTATAAAACTTACAAAAATTATATTTATTCACTATTGTTCAATTGGTATAATAATTTCTTTACAGTCTCAAATTTTACATTATATTTCCTGTCAAGCGATACAACATTTACATTGTTGTACCCAAATTAATGTGAAACAAACATTTTATAACTATATTATAAAAATTATAAAAAAAAAAGAAGAAAAAACTGAGTTGGAACTTCTCCAAATTGTTTTTGGTGATCCACCAGAGTGTAGTTTAGTTTTTTAACCGAATAAAATCCCTGAAGTTTAGAGATTTCAATTTTTAATGAAACGCTAAAATTAAACGTGATTAATGCTTATCATAATTCAAATCGAATTTTAAAATTCAAAATGTTAAGATATTTTCGTCTAATTTACAACCTAATTAATAAAATTCAGGATTATATTATATATATATATTGAAATATTTAACATATTTAATATGTTTGAGTTTAATTTTTTTTTTTTTTGTGCCAAAACTCGAATCAACATTAATGTTGATATTATGATTTCAACTGTCCGATTAAAAAAGATTTAGCATTAATTTTGATTATTTTTTTAGCTAAGGTCATTGGCCATAGTTTTTTTAGGTAAGGTCATCAACCATAATTGGAGCTTTATTTAAGTCAATTAGAAAATTTATTCAAATCAATCATTAATAATTACAATAAAATCAAATCAATTTTACCTTTTCTTTATGACACCAAATGGAAAGAAACCATTAATGTTGATTTTTTTTAAAAAAAATGTTCCGTTTATGTTCCGTTTTTTTTTTTTTGTCTAATTTACAACCTAATTAATAAAAAAATCAGGATTATATATGTATATTGAAATATTTAACATATTTAATATGTTTGAGTTTAATTTTTTTTTTTGTGCAAAAAACTCGAAATTACATTAATGTTGATATTATGATTTCAACTCTCCGATTAAAAAAGATTTAGCACTAATTTTGATTATTTTTTTAGGTAAGGTCATTGGCCATGGTTTTTTTAGGTAAGGTCATCAACCATAATTGGAGCTTTATTTAAGTAAATCAGAAAATTTATTCAAATCAATCAGCAATAATTATAATAAAATCAAATCAATTTTACCTTTTCTTTATGGCAGTAAATGGAAAGAAACCATTAATGTTGATTGTTTTAAAAAAAATGTTTTGTTTTTTTTTTTTTGTTTGACCGAATTTAAAAGTGAAAGTTTAGCCCCCCAATTAATTGATAGAATTTAATTACGATTTGATGAAACTTTATTTACTGAAAATTAAAAGTACTGTTAGTGTAATTGTTGTAAATATTTTTTGTGTCAACCTATAAAAAAATGACACATAGTCTTTTGTCTTATGTGTTAACGGGAGGAGAAGTTTGATTTCCTCTCTCTGGTTTCTCTCTTAGTATAATACTATAGATTTACAACCTAATTAATAAAAAATCAAGATTATATATATATTGAAATATTTAACATATTTAATATGTTTGAGTTTAATTTTTTTTTTTTTGGTGCAAAAAACTCGAATCAACATTAATGTTGATATTATGATTTCAACTTTCTGATTAAAAAAGATTTAGCATTAATTTTGATTATTTTTTTAGGTAAGGTCATTGACCATAGTTTTTTTAGGTAAGGTCATCAACCATAATTGTAGCTTTATTTAAGTCAATCAGAAAATTTATTCAAATCAATTAGTAATAATTATAATAAAATTAAATCAATTTTACCTTTTCTTTATGAAACCAAATGGAAAGAAGCCACTAATGTTGATTTTTTTTAAAAAAAAGTTTCGTTTTTTTGTCTAATTTACAACCTAATTAACTAAAAAATTAGGATTATATATGTATATTGAAATATTTAACATATTTAATATGTTTGAGTTTAATTTTTTTTTTTGTGCAAAAAAACTCGAAATTACATTAATGTTGATATTATGATTTCAACTTTCCGATTAAAAATGATTTAGCACTAATTTTGATTTTTTTTTAGGATTGGCATTGTTTTTTTTAGATAAGGTCATCAACCATAATTGGAGCTTTATTCAAGTCAATCAGAAAATTTATTCAAATCAATCAGCAATAATTATAATAAATCAAATCAATTTTATCTTTTCTTTATGGCACCAAATGGAAAGAAACCATTAATGTTGATTTTCTTAAAAAAAAATGTTCCGTTTCTTTTTGTTTGACCGAATTTAAAAGTGAAAGTTTAGCCCCCAATTAATTGATAGAATTTAATTACGATTTGATGAAACTTTATTTACTGAAAATTAAAAGGACTGTTAGTGTAATTGTTGTAATTTTTTTTTGTGTCAACCTATAAAAAAATGACACATAGGATTTTGTCTTATGTGTCAACGGGAGGAAATGTTTGATTTCCTCTCTCTGGGTTCCAATTTAGCACTAATTTTGATTATTTTTTAGGTAAGATCATTGGCCATGGTTTTTTTAGGTAAGGTCATCAATCATAATTGGAGCTTTATTTAAGTCAATCAGAAAATTTATTGAAATCAATCAGCAATAATTATAATAAAATCAAATCTATTTTACCTTTTCTTTATGGCACCAAATGGAAAGAAACCATTAATGTTGATTTTTTTAAAAAAAAATGTTCCGTTTTTTTTTGTTTGACCGAATTTAAAAGTGAAAGTTTAGCCTCCCAATTAATTGATAGAATTTAATTACGATTTGATGAAACTTTATTTACTGAAAATTAAAAAGGCTGTTAGTGTAATTGTTGTAAATATTTTTTGTGTCAACTTAAAAAAATGACACATAGAATTTTGTCTTATGTGTCAACGGGAGGAGAAGTTTGATTTTCTCTCTCTGGTTTCTCTCTTAGTATAATACTATAGATTAAATCACCTCACTTCTGCATGCATTCGCAATTTGTATCTTAGAATATTTAAAAACATAATACATATAGAAGCCCATGGGGATCCACCTCAAAATCAATTGGCAATGAGGAAAGTAACCCATGTATTTTTATATTAATATTCAGTTTCTTCCAGCACCAATGTAGGACTGAGATTCTCAATACTCCCCTGCAAGCCCAATGTATTTTTTAGATTGGGCTTGATCTTTTTTTTTCTTTTTCAGCTCAGGCACCGCCTCATGTCTCAGCCCTATTTTTTTGTTGGGCTTTTTTAAGTCCGAATGTCGGCGGGCTGGCTCTGATACCATATAGAAGCCCATGGGGATCCACGTCAAAACCAATTGGCAATGAGGGGAGTAGCCCATGTACTTTTATATTGATATTCAGTTTCTTCCAACACCAATATGAGACTGGTATTCTCAATAATACATATGTAGTCAAACTTCAATAATAAATAGGCAGAAAAAAATCTTTCAGATATGGAAGTTAACCATTTTGGATTAAGAAGGATATGTGATTGGGCAAATAGGTATAAATTGGGACCACGACTTATGGTTATAAATTGCTGTATAGATGGGTGAGCTTAAAATGGATTTTTACTGATGGATGATATGTACGTAGTTACAATGTGAATTTCAAAATTATATGACAAAATTAATACTCTCGTCTGTCCCAAAAAAATAGTCCACTTTCAAAATGTATAACTTTTTGATTTAGTCAACATCAATAACATATAACTCTTTTTATCCTTCAAACTTCCAATAATGTCCTTGCCGTCCAAAAGCTACTAAGAACCAGAACCTACGCAATTTTTTTCCCTTTCCCCCTTTCGCCAGAAAACACAAAATTTCAATTTTTTTCCCTTTTCCCCTTTTGCCGAAAAACACAAAATTATGATTGGGCTACGAAAAACGTGACTAACAGCCAATATAATGTTCCAATCCAATTCCTTGTGCAACCTTTCCTCTCCATTTGGCATCTCCCGTAAGTAATGAGATTCTAAAATCCAAGTACCGATTTCATCGGAGATCTGTGAATCAAATTCTAATCAGTCACAACAAACAAAGAAAAATCCTCAATCAAACAGGATTTAGATTAAAAATAAATTAAAAAAACTCTAATTGAAATTTCCTTTCTGGAGTCCAATAAATCAACTCGAGAAACTGCAACGCTAACTCAATTCATCACTCGAATTCAGCCATAGATTTCAGTCGATCTTCAATGGAGAAAATATAATCGTAGTGACTGCCGTAAACGTTGAATGCACAGATCGATCGGCTGACGGCGAGAAGATAGGAGCATCGAAGGCAAACAAGAAGGAGGAACTCTAC